GAATAATCTCTACAAGAATTTTTATTCCATGTATCCCCTATTCCCCCTAAAGAAATAATGCGAGAGAAAAATATAGATCCGAAAGTCGCAGAATCGGGAATCGAACCCCGAGACCTTTCGCTTGCCGGGCGACTGGGCTCCTTCCAACTGAGCTATTCAGATCCTTTCGATTCTATATTTTTCTCTTTTAATATATTAAGTTGGTAAACAAACGCCTTTAAGCCAGCGTGTATAAATAAGAAGTGTTAACTAGGCTCTAGGGGGAATAGGGGATACATGAAATTAAAAAATCTCTTGTAGAGATTATTCCATTTTATATTTTGGCCGTGTCCAAGTAAAATTTGGTGCCTTGTGCACCGGTATTTAATTCTAACGAAAAATTAGTTTCGTTAGGATAACGCACTGTCATCCGCGATTTGGCTCTTATTGCCTGTCTTATATATGTTAAATTTATATTATTAATTTATGTTTTTTGAAATGTATAGTTTGGTAGCTGCTACTACTCATTTGCATATAATAGGCACCCGACAAATGTCATCGTGTTGGGATCAACAGTAATTTTATTCTTAAGAGCAACCTTTAACATATCTATAGGATGTAATCAATGCACGGCTTTGTCAAATATGCCATTGCAAAATACAGAAAAAAACAAGCACAATATGTTAATAAAACGCTTCGATATCACACCTGCAATGTCGCGTATCTTGCAACAATAATTGTATCCAATTACTTATCACGTGTTGATAATAATACTCAACATATTCAAATGTGGTGCAGAAACGAATCTGTATTTCACATGGAATTTGCAAAGAATGTAGCTGAAAATTTACGTTGTTCTATAAAAATACATGGAAACAACATTCGAACAATATTTCGAAAATGACTCATGTTGCAATACCAAATTTCCCTGATAATGGCATAATAGTTTACGGACTTGTTTTGTATAAGTGAGTACAAGTACTTAAAATTACATTAAAGTAAAATTATATATTAGTATGCAAATTATACAATTGAAAAACATGTAGGTATATCTTTTGTTTCTGTAAATGTGCAAAAGTATAAGAATATTGTGAAAACAACAATTTTAAGTAGTATAAATTAAGTTTTATTCGTACAATAATTCAAAATGTTGTACTTTATTGTTCTAATATATCCATACATAAAGGTAAAATTTTATATAATATTGTATAATCCCCTAAGGTAATTTTAAAATTGTAATAAAGCTATAAAAGAAATAACATTTTTTTATTTATTAAAACTAAAGTTCTTCATCAATGATTTACGCATTAACACAAAATCATTGTTTTATACTTAAATTAAAATTTTCAAAAAATATTATTTGTTACGATTTACAATACCATTTGCCAATTAAAATTTTATTATGTCCAAGAGTTCTTAGTCTAACATTTAAATATTACTTTTAGCGAAACGGATATTGTTTACGATAAAATTTGTATCCTGTTGCTCACGAAATCGAAATAGCTCAATTAGTAGGACATAAAGTGACACAGCAATGGTTATATAATCTGAACAATCCGTTTCGATCGGCTTCTTGGTTTAACAAAGCTCTTACTACATGCTTGCAATGAATACTGTCAATAAGGTTATTTTAAATAATTTTAATGCTATCACCTCCCACTTTCTCGGAAACGATAACATACTTAAGCATTTATATAGCAAGATTTTTGTATATCAAATTATTTTTACAAAATGTATAAATTCTTTTTAACAATATATACATATGTATACAATATTAAACAATATATACATATGTATACAATATATTAACTGTTTTTTTAAACATACTTTTTCAAATTATACATTCATATGAAAATAATGTAAAGTATGAAAACTTTCTTTATATTTTAACATCATTTTATCTGATATTATTATACTAGCTTTTCGGTTCGTTTCTTCACGCGGGCCTCAAAGCCTTCACTCAACACTGATTCCGCTCTTACTAGTTTTTAACACAATTTTTTATTCTACAAAACCAAAGATATATAATATTTAGTTATACTTTATTTAATATCTATCTATTTGTCTGCCTATCTGTCCGTCTGTTTGTCGTCGTCACCCCAAAAAATTTTCATGAACTTGGTACCGAAAATAAATCAATATATGTGTGAATGCGTGGGTAAAAGTTTTACATACGAATTTTTTTTAAATGTGATTTCTCGATATTTTGGAACATTTCGAACACATTGCCATAGAAATCTGCAAATTTTTTTGCGGAAACATACCCTTCTCTATGTTAAAAAATTTTTTAATTAAAAATCACCATCTCATCACACTCCCCAAAAATTTGCAACTTGTATATATAAATTTAAGTAGATATCCAATTTCGCGAAAATTAATCAATAAATATATGTATGCGTGTGTGGATGCGTATGTAGTAGTGTAAAACTAAAAAAAAAACACATAGTAGCGATTTTCGAAAATATGCGAAATTTTGGTACCAATTTCGAGAAAATCGGTGAATAATATGTGAATTGCGTGGGTGGAATAAAACTTAAAAAAACCACACAGTAGCTTTCTCAGAAAAATTTGCAACATTTTGATACCAATTTTTAAAAAATCGGTCCTTAAATATGCGATTACGACGGTGGGTGCGTGAGTGGAGGCGTAAAACTTACAAAAATCACCATCGTCACACTCCCCGAAAATTTGCAAAATTTTGGTACCAATTTGATGAAAATCAGTCCACAATGTGGAAGCAGTTCGCGGTCGGACAGACAGACAGACAAACAAAGAGACGGACGGTACATATACATACAGATTTTTATAAAATCTAACATAACTTAAATTAATCAGAAACAATTATATCCGATTTTATTTTACTTAATTTGATAAAAAGAACTCTGCGATATAATATATCATGAAATAATAATTTTAAAAGTATGTAATATTTGTTAATTATATTGATACAAATTTATATTATTCCTTTTTAACATAAAAGAACCGCTAATGATATTAGTATTTCCTTCTAATGCATGTATTTTCAGAGCGTTTATATTGATATATTAATTATATTTTTCTTTAGATGTATCGAGATAATCGAATAATACATTTATTTGTCGTTCAAAATCAACATACTTCTTTTTATTTTGATGATTATCGTATTGGGATTCTACTTCACAGATGACAGTTTATTGAAAATTCGCGAATCCATCAGAGTAATATAATAAAATAATCCGCGTAAATTTTGAACTATTAATATTATAAAAATATATGTTTAAAATTATAAGATAATTAATTTTCTATCTAAATTTTATTACAAAAATAATGTTATTAAAGTACACACACACATATTTATGTACATTCTATAATTAATTTAAGGTATATAAATATACGTATATATATATATATATATATATATATATATATATACGTATATTGTATATACCTTAAATTATTTAGAATGTACATAAATATATATTATATATATATAAATTTTTTTGAATAAATGATAAAACCGTGCGGCAATAGAAGACATTTCACACTGTTATGCAATTACTGTACCTTGTATATATATAATTTTGCCTTATAATATATAATATCACTTTACATGTAACTATTATAATAAATATATATTTATAATATATCTAATTTATAATTTTGATGTAAATTGTAGCACCCTGTATACTGCGCATGATGCAAACACGCCGTAACCAAAAAATATTTTGGAAGGCATTCGATCATATGCAAATAGCAAGTGAGTATCAATATAGAATATATAATAAAAAAATAAAATTATATAAATCTTAACTAATTTTAATAATACAAATTTTACATATTGTCTTTTATTATTTCGTTTTTGCTGACATTATTTCATATTATATTTTTTTAGTTTTACAATTCTGCTATTTTCCTAGATCTTTACTAGATTTACCTTTACTTTCGTTATTTTACTATGAAAACCGCTTTTGTTGAAATAAATGTTGTTTTATGACTTTTTATACATACATATTCAATGTTGTTTTATTTTCGTTTCATAATTTATTATTTTTAAAATAATTTTCAAATTAATTTGTAATCCTTTTATTATTTCCTTTATTGCTTCATATAGTCTATAATTATTCTTTTAATATCTGCTTTTTTTATTGCATTTTGTGCTACGTTTGTTTTTTAATCTTTTTAAATATATCTCACACGTATATCGATTTTCCGTTACTTTCTTCATTTTTCTTTTATTTCTTTCGTAGAACGATCACCTTTATTATATTTGTATATTATTTCTGTTTTGTTTTTATTTTTATTTGATTTGTTTTGTTATTTCTTTTATTAATCATTTTATAACTCATCTGTCAATACTTTGATCAAAATAATCTGTATTATTAACCTTTGTAGAAATTTATCACTAGTAACGCTAATTAATAACTTATTTCGAATATTTAAATATGATATACAGTAATTTAAATACTCAAAATAAGTAATTAAGTACTCGAAATAAGTGATAAATTGTATTACTAGTAATAGTATATAAAATGCTTAACAAATTAAATAAAATTATTAAATTATATTTAATATTATGTTATTATCATAATATAAATATAAGATTATGAATACACAATACAAATAAGTACAATTATATTTTGCTTCTTAGTATTTATTAAAAGTTTTTATAATATTAAAATATTAAAATTATAAAACAATTTTAATTTTATTTATAATGTTATTTTTACATAATTTATATACTTTTTGTGTGAGTTTAGCCAATCTCATCGTCAAAGTTTTATGACTTTTTTTTGGAAGAAGTTGTTGCTGATGCAAATAAGCTAGATCAACTTCATTATCATTACAAACAATGGCAATTTGGACTTTAGAAGAGCATTGTCCTCTTATCAAAGTAGAACGAACTTATGGTCTTTTTGAAAAAGACGAAAATAAATTTATCGATACAAAATCCCGACACATTAAAAATTGATTGCTTACCTGTAACTTATACTATCCAGTCGGTTCCCGATTTTGACAGTCTTGATCACCGCGCGCTATGCAAATCACAAGATGATGTTATTTCATTGTCATTAGAAGAGCATGGTTGGGTTATAATCAATTTACAACAAATTGGTAAATATCGACTAATTGATAAATTTAACGTATAAGACGGGCAACAAGAGCCAAATCGCGGATGACAATGCGTTATCCTAACGAAACTAAATCATTTTTCGTTCATTGCCGTCTTATACGTTAAATTTATATTATATTAAAGAGCCTTGTTAAAACTCTTATATTTGATACACGCTTGGCTTAAAAATGCGTTTGTTTACCAACATTAATATATATACAGAGAAAAGTATAGAATCGAAAGGATCTGAATAGCTCAGCTGGAAGAGCAGTCGCCCGGCAAGCGAAAGGTCTCGGGTTCGATTCCCGATTCAGCGATTTTCGGATCTATATTTTTCTCTTGCATTCATTTATTTATTTTCCAAAGGGGGGTTAAAGGGTATTGAAATTAAATCTCAAAATATGAGATTATTTCATATTTAAAATCTTGGCCGTGTCCAAGTAAAAATTTGGTGCCTTGTGCACCGGTATTTAATTCTAACGAAAAATGATTTAGTTTTCGTTAGGATAACGCATTGTCATCCGCGATTTGGCTCTTGTTGTCCGTCTTATACGTTAAATTTATATTTATATTACAGAGCCTTGTTAAAACTCTTATATTCGACTAATTGACTTATCATGACTCATTATTCATCTTTATTTTACACACATACACAATTGACATTATTTTATATTTTTTTTGCTTTATACACATTATTATATATAAATCTGAGATATTCTTATATATAAATACCATAGTTTTAAAATGTTTTGTATAATGTTCTGTATTATTATATATAATTAATAAGATATATATCGGCGTTTTCTATATAATATCAATCAATATTAAAATTATATTTTTTTACAAATATTTTAATTTAATAATAATAAAAATGATTAAACGTTAATTATATTTATAAAATTAGTATACTAATATAAGTATACAGGTGAAATAAAATTTTTGTACAGTTTCACGTTACAGAACTTTTGCTGATTAGTAAAAAATAATTATTATATATATGCACAACTAGAATCAATTTTATTTTATGCTATACAACAATATCTCGCACAATTTCATTTATAATTTATAATTATTTTCAATATGTATTTGCATCTCATTTAATTATTGATATGTTTTTAATTTATAATTTATATAAACAAAATATTAAACAAAATGTTTGAAATTAAGTGTATATTAATAATAAAAATTTTCAAAATAAAATTGTTAAATTTATTTATTATTCGACAGGATATTACCGCGTTAACTATGATGATGAGAATTGGCGAAGAATTTCAGATTATCTATACTATATGATTTTACGACAATTCATGTTTCTTAATCGTGCCCAAATTATCGATGATGCATTTCATTTAATGATAGCAGGCCAACTCAAAGCATGTATATTCTGGAGTATCACATCGTATTTGGATAAAGAAGACGATTATATCGCATGGTATCCTATGTTTAAAAGCTCTGGAATACATGTTTAGTACTTTTCCGTGGACGAAAGAACTGAAAAATATGCGGTAAATGTTAATCAATTTCAATGAAAGTATTACATTTAAATATTTATATACACTGATTGATCACAAATAATTTAAATATTTAAAAGAAATATATCTAGCGATAAAGTTTTATATGTATTACGTCTCTCACATAAATGTGCAAACAAATTCAGTTTGAATAATCACTCACGCGATGAACAGTTCCCAAACTGTATGATTTTCACTAATGTGAATAATGATATTATATAACATTGTTATTGGATACATAGCTGGATGCTTAAAATCTTTGTCGATGAAGTATAATTATAAAGATATTAAAAGAAATACATATTTAATGAGTTTTAGGATAGAATAGATAAGCTAAAATTCATGTTAAACGAGTTACTTGAAAAAATCCAATATGAAGAAATTGATGATGCAGACGAACTTACAATATGTTTACGACAAGAAGCTGCAAGATGGGCATGTTTTTTTGGTCACATCATTTGTATAGAAGAAGCAAAAAATAAATTAGAACAACATATGAAAGATCCTATAAAATACAGGTAAATTATGTTACATATTTTTAGTTTTTCTCAATCAAATTTCCTTGTAGATATCTCCTATAATGTTCAAATAAGTTAATACGCCAATCTTTAATAAGAAAATTAAATTTATTTATATTTTAGGCTTTTGCCATGGTGGACGGCATGGACATATTGTAGAGGTTTGATGACAACTACGAGATATGCAAATTTTGGAACAGTGTATACTAGAGGATTGAACAAAACTGACATTAAATTTTCAGAATATTTGGCTTGCATTGAAGAAACTGAGTTAATCAAAATGTATTTAGCAACAAAACATAAACAGCACACTTATACAAAACAGGGAGATCAATTTGTCGTTAACAGTTTCTTACATTTTATTACGAAGCATGCGAAGAATCCAATTATACTAACATATATATTAGATCATTTTAACGAAATAAAACCAAAGTAACGTGTCATATTTTATAAATATTTTGTACAAAAGTTTATTATATGTATTTATATATATATATATCTGATTTTTTTTGTTTTTAGAAATGTTAATATAATTGCAGCATTAATTATTATGATTAATAACGTATATTCTAAAAATGTAGCTAAGGTAAAAATTTTACATGTTTGAATATGTATACACAATATGATAATAATGCATATTATTAATTATTATTTATTGTTTAAAATAACTTGATATTAGAATAATTGTTTGTTAATAATGTTATAAAAATACATTTTAGTCAATATCACGAAATGCTATCAGTATTGTAAAAAACTAACTTTGAAATAGAAAGACTTCGAATAAAAAAGGTAACTTTAATAAATATTATTATTATGGAAAGCAAAAGAATATCAAATATTGTTATATCTTATTAATTTCAGAATATTATTTTTATATTTGTTTATTCTTATATAATCAGTATGTTGATTTCATTATGACAATCTTTGTTTATATATATTAAGATGGCATAATGCGGAATGAGATTACTATATTTATCTAATTATATTATAGTTAATGAAACGATTTTGTTTTAGATGAGTGACCGTGTGATAGATAAAGATGAGTTAATTAAACAAATACAAAATCATGTTGAGATTCGCAGAGACAAATCAAAAGACAGAGACAGTATTTTAAAAGTTTTTCTTCTAATATGAGGATGTAAAAAAATTACAGTTTTTTAAACGAGGACGTACTTTATATAATAATTTTTTTATATTGCATGTACTATTTCTTTTACTGCTTTAAATATTGTTTATTTAGATGTATTCCTATCCGATGCCTTTATATTTACAAAACTATAAGACTGCATTCATCAAGATTTTCATTTCTTTGCGATCTGTTTGAAGTAGTTAAACTATATATTATTACCTGCTTAGTATTAGAGTTGTAGCCATTTATATTACAATAATTTTACTGTAAGATAAATAATATAATATAAATAGTATAAATATATAAATAGAACTTGCTAAATAATAAGTGCACCTAAATTATGTGTGTGCATTATCTATTCATTTTAATTTATATATTGATTTGTTTTCAATTTTGTTACGTGAATTAACGAAAATTATATTTACACACAAATACACACACACAGATATATATACAGGGTTTGTCCGGAAAGTAATAGCGTCGCATTTTTTTGTGACGTGACTATACATCGCAGAGCGATGGGACCGGTTGGGGAGGAAGGGGGGTACCCTTAGCTTTCCAACAGTAGGTCGCTCATTGTTTTCCATGCGCTTGGAGGGTTAGGACGGCTTATTCTGTGAACCTCTGCTTAGTGGTCGCGTCGAACTTGTGATGGAGAGACGATAGAGCAACGCTATGCGATAAAGTTTTGCGTGAAGCTGGACAAGACGCCGCTGGAAAACTTTGAAATGCTCAAGAAAGTTTGCCCCGGCGGACTTTTTTTTATTTCCTCGGCTGAAAAGGGAGCTCAAAGGACAACAGCTCGAGTCGGTTGACAACGTACAAGCTACTTCGACGGCCTCCCTGACAGCATCCCAGTCAGAGTTCCAGAAATCTTATGACGCATGGAAATCGCTGGCAAAATGTATTGACGCAGAGGGTCATACTTCGAACAATTTTAAGTTGTTTTACCTATGCGATCAATAAATTCTTTTTTAAAAAAATGCACGCATTACTTTCCGGAAGAACCCTGTATATATATATAACAATTTATTATTTAAATAGTATAAAAATGTATTATTAGTTATATATATATGTGTGTGTCAATAAATTTTAATATTAAAAAATTGTCTTATTATTTCATTTGCTTCTGCATTATGTATCGTTCCTTACTATTCGCAATGATAAATGTGGAATCTCTTTTAGCAAAATAAATTTTGTACACAACGGTGTTGCAACACGAACAACAAATTCGAAAAAAATAGAAATCCGTTACATTGAAATCGAAAAATTTAAAATTTCTTAAAATCTTTCTATGGCTAATCGATTAGAATATGAAAATGAAGCTACTATGTAATATACGCTTATATTTACATATAATTAATTCAAGATTCGTAATATTGAAATAATTTTCGACCCAAAAAATTAATCGAATAAAATGCCTTAAAACTAAAAATGTTATAATTTCCACATATTTTTATTATAATTTTATTATAAAATAATTTTTATTATAAATAAATATTGAGATCGAAAAGTCACGATTTATATTTAAAATTGTATTTTATTTTGGCTTTATATTCACAGTCTGTTTATTTAGTATATATATAATTTGAAAAAAAGTAAAATAAATTTTGAAAAATATTTTCAAAAACTCCTATTTAAATACTAGTGACTGTCATTAATAATTGAAAATTTATGTTGTATTAACTTTTTACAAAAATGTTATATGAAATAATAATTTTATCAGTTATAAATCTTTATGGTTTTGCGCATAGAGTACGATTTCATAAACAAAGTATTAAAATTTTAAAATTAAATAAAATTGATATAAAAAACAAAAAAATAGTACATATCGCGATTAATAAAGAAGCGATTATAATATTTACGATTTTATATTATATACTTATACATACAGAAGTAGGTACAGTATAAAGACACAGTATTGTGCATAAAGACATGTATAATTAAATGTATATTTTTAACAAAAAAATATAAAGTGTCCTATTTTAAATTAAGTATTGTTGTAATTTCAAAACCAAAGTTTCTCTTTCGAAAAATATACTTTATTGGAAAATTTGCAAAAGCGCGTCGCGTCGTAAGTATATGGTCTTATTTCAGATGGAACATTGTTGAGATTTGATAGTAATCATTGATTTTTAAACGTTTTATGTTTTTTTCTGACACAAATATGAAACATCTTGTAATGTATTTATCTTGCAATATAATTTTATCAAAATAAACGTCTGCACAAATCAATGTGAATAAATTGATTGGTATATAAAAAACATTCCATTGATTTAAAAAAATTGCAATTTATAGAAATGTGCAACTGCATATATTTATATTAAATAATGACATATTTATACTAATTGAATTAATAAGATAAAATTATCGAAGGATAAGTTAATGAGGAGAAATTACACAATATTTTTAGCAAAAATGTTTGTTGAAATAATAAGTCATATAAATGTGTATAAACAATGCCTAATAATTTGATTAATTAGGCAAAAGTTAAATGTGCTAAATTAAATCAACCGTTACACACAAATGCCGCCATACATCCAAATATATATATATGTATATACAAAGTGTCGCATAATTCGCGAACCACCGCGAATGGGCAGATAGAGCGTGTTAAACTGAATAGAAAAGTCTTGTATCATTTTGCGATATTCGCAATAATTATTGAGTTATTTATTAAAATATCTAAACGAATAAGCAGGTAGAAAGCATTATTTGATCGAGAGGCGGCGTCATGCAGCGAGCAATGTAGTGGCGCCGAAAAGTAAGATGATACTTTTGATACTGAGCGGCATATAACAAACAAGTCATCCAACATGCACATCGAGTCCGGCCTACCGCTTTCTACCTGCTCGTTTAGATATTTTAGTTAATAACTCAATAATTATTGCGAATATCGCAAAATGATACAGGACTTTTCTATTCAGTTTAACACGCTCTATCTGCCCATTCCCGGTGGTTTGCGAATTATGGGACACCCTGTATATACAAGGTGTTTGGCAACAGGTGGACCAAAATGTAAGCAGTGGTTCTACATAATAAAATAAGACAAAAATCAAGAATGACAAAATTGCGTCCAAGACTTCGTTTATTAATTATAAATATTTTAAATTTCGCATTAAGGGCGCCTGACGCACGGCAATTTGCCGATATCTGGCATGCGTAAGGTACATCGGTAGAGTCGCCGTCAATATACACTGTGACGCATAAGTATACAAAAACTTACATCGTAACAGTTGATGTATATTTTGCAAAGTGTAAAATATTTATAATTAATAAACGGAGTTTCGAACACAATTTTGTCATTCTTGATTTTCGTCTTATTTTATCATGTAGAATCACTCCTTACATTTTGGCCCACCTGTTGTCGAACATCCTGTATATAACGACCTTAGAAGTTTTGTTGATTTAACACATCATATTTAGCATGAAGACACGTCCAGAAAATCAGTCAGTCGTTCGTGGTCTTTCGAACCACGTCGCCGTAGATATAATACTTTTAATAAAGTGTGTGAATATATTATATTCTTCCCACATTGCATACTTCTAAAGCATTAATTTGCTGCAATTTATTTTTAATACAATATATAGTTTTAATCAATATAGTTTTCCAATTAACATTCTGTTTTGAAATATTCGGTAAGTCAGAACAACTTTCATACATATAAAACATGTGTCTACAAATGCAAGAAAATTTAATCATACGGTAGAATGGAATTTTATAGAATTTCCAACATATGTATAGGAATAAAAAGAATAGTTTTATTCAAAATTATTTGTAAATTTTAATCCAGAGATAATTTAAAATAATTCTATTTGTCCTTTCTTCAGCGAGTTCGCTAAATGACATGTTATCAATTCTCCTGCCTATATCGGTTAAGCTGTCCGTTGTTATATTTTGCTTGTTTTGATACTTTGTTTTTACCTGTTCATTATGATTCTTTCGCTCGTTGTCATATATATACATATATTCGATCGCCGACTTTCGTTCTCAACTCAATTTAATATTTTAAAATAAAATTGAAATATAAAATGAATTTTATCGCCACAGTTGAAATAATCTTGAACCCACAAAAGTTTGATGTCGAATAAATAATTTTTGAAACTAAAAAATACTGCAATTAACAGATAATGAATATTATAATAGACACTTTTAATTGTTCTTTTATTACTAGATTATTAAAATTCTGTTTCCAAAATTTCTCGTACTCTTTTTATTTATAAAAAATATCTGTGTGTATTTTAATACTTATTTGTGATGTCAATATATTAAAGGTTGTATAATCCTTGGCTATTATTTTATCACGATTCGACAAGAAGTTTCATTCGAATAATATGTTCACAGTTTTTAATTTTAAGTACACTTGAGAAGGACCAAAACCCATGGTCGAAACGTTGGGTGGTGATTATTAAATATTTATTGAACAGTAATGGTCGTTAAAATTAATTATCCTTTCAAATATATTAAAATTAAAAATTATTAAAATTTAATTTTTACTTTTTATACAAAATATAAGTCGAAATAATAATTCGGCTAATTAAAATTATGATCATTTTTATAGCATCAAGCATCATCGCAAAAATTAACAATTTGACAATTGTAAAATGAATAATAAAAACAATATCAAAAGCGTGCGCCAAACGCGCTCTTGTGTCGTCTAGTGATTTAAAAAAGACATCAATACTTTATTTAATTTCTCTATTTGTCTTTTGCTTACAGTGTGTTTTGCAGACCTAAAATAAATTATTCGACACGATGATATTTCTACTATTAATTAGCGGAATAATGTATATCGTTGGGACGGCTTCTACTCTTAATCAATCGTCTTTATGCTATCAACCATCAGAATATATAAAACCAATCCATTACGATATCAAGCATATATCAAATATTGAAGGAAATATTTTCTATGGAGAATACAATATTAGCATAAACATTCTTAACAAAACGCAAAATATATTAATTAACAACATATATTCAGAAGAATTATATTTTAAAAATATAGTTTTAATTAAAAATCTAGAAAAACATTATGAGAATATTAAATATACAGTTTATAAACCGGCATATGATATTCAAGAAGACATAATTGACCTTTCTTTTAAGGATGAGTTATTACCAGGAAATTACATTTTATATATTAAATACTTTGGTTTTACTGATGAAGTCTTTAGAATTTTCGATGTGAAAAATAAAACTGCGTAAGTAAATAATATATGTTTATTAAAATCAATGTGCAATGTGCAATTACATGCAACCTTGTAATTTATATATATTATTTTTGTATTAAATGTTTCAAATATTATTATATATCATGCAATTTAAATATAAAGACGATTATTATATACCTTTAATACATATTATTACATTTAAACATTTTTCAATTTCAACATTTTGATGCTTGCTAGAAATGTTTCATTAATTTATGTTCTTTGAAATGTATAGTTTCGTAGCTGCTACACATTTTCATATAATAGGCACCCGGTATATAATGAGTACGTGTTGGGATGAAAAATATTTATTCTTAGAAGCAACCTTTAACATATCTATAGGATGTAATCAATGCACGGCTTTGTCAAATATGCCATTGCGAAATACAGAAAAAAACAAGCACAATATGTTAATGAAACGCTTCGATATCACACCTGCAATGTCGCCGTATCTTGCAACAATAATTGTATCCAATTACTTATCACGTGTTGATAATAATACTCAACATATTCAAATGTGGTGCAGAAACGAATCTGTATTTCACATGGAATTTGCAAAAAATGTAGCTGAAAATATTACGTTGTTCTATAAAAATACATGGAAACAACATTCGAACAATATTTCGAAAATGACTCATGTTGCAATACCAAATTTCCCTGATAATGGCATAATAGTTTACGGACTTGTTTTGTATAAGTGAGTACAAGTACTTAAAATTACATTAAAAGTAAAATTATATATTAGTATGCAAAATTATACAATTGAAAAACATGTAGGTATATCTTTTGTTTCTGTAAATGTGCAAAAGTATAAGATATTGTAAAAACAACAATTTTAAGTAGTATAAATTAAGTTTATTCGTACTATAATTCAAAATGTTGTAGTTTATTGTTTTAATATATACATACATAAAAGTAAAAATTTTTATGCTATATCGTATCCCCTAAGGTAAATTTTAAAATTGTAATAAAGCTATAAAAGAAATAACATTTTTTTATTTATTAAAACTAAAGTTCTTTTTCGATGATTTACGCATTAACCCAAATCATTGTTTTATACTTAAATTAAAAATTACAAAAAATATTATTTGTTACAATTTACAATATCAATTTGCTAAATGAAATTTTATTTTGTATAAAAATTCTCAGTTTTACATTTAAATATTACTTTCAGCGAAATGGATATCGTTTACGATAAAATTTGTATCCTGTTTCTCACAAAATCGAAATAGCTCAATTAGTAGGACATAAAGTGACACAGCAATGGTTTTATAATCTGAACAATCCGTTTCAATCGGCTTCTTGGTTCAACAAAGCTCTTACTACATTGCTTGCAATAAATACTGTCAATAAGGTTATTCTAAATATTTTTAACGCTATCACTTTCCACTTTTTCAAAAACGATAACATACTTAAGCATATATATAACAGGAATTTCGTATATCAAATTCTTTTTACAAAATGTATAAATTCTTTTTAACAATATATACATATGTATCCAATATTAAACAATATATACATATGTATACAATATATTAAACTGTTTTTTAAAAATACTTATTCAAATATTTACATTCATATAAATATAATGTAAAATATAAAAACTTTTTTTATATTTTAACACTACTTTATTTGATATTATTATACTAGTTTTTCGGTTCGCTCTTCACGCGGGCCTCAAAGCCTTCACCCAACACTAATTCCGCTTTTACTAGTTTTTACACAATGTTTTAATTTACAAAATTAAAGATATAATATTTAGTTTTAGTACCAATTTCGAGAAAATCGGTGAATAAATATGCGAATACGTGTGTGGATGCGTGGGTGGAATAAAACTTAAATAAATCACACAACAGCCTTTTCAGAAATATTTGCAACATTTTAGTACCAATTTCGTAAAAATCGGTCCATAAATGCGCATGCGCATGGGTGAATGTGTGGGTGGAGGTGTAACATTTGAGAAAACCACCAATTGTCGTTATCTCCAAAAAATATGCAACACTTTGATATCAATTTAAAAAAAATCGGTCCATAAATATGCGATTGCGTAGGTGAGTGCGTGGGTGGATGCGTAAAACTTACAAAAAATCACCATCGTCACACTTTCCGGAAAATTTGCGAAATTTTGGTACCAATTTGATGAAAATCAGTCCACAAATGTGGAAGCAATTCGCGGTCAGACAGACAGACAGACAGACAGAGAGACGGACGGTATTTATACATATAGATTTCTATAAAATCTAAAATATAAAATAAATTAATTAGAAACTATTATATCCAATATTTATTTTACTTATTTTGATAAAGAGAACTCTGCGATATAATATATCATGAGATAATAATTTTTAAAGTATGTAATATTTGTTAATTATATTAATACAAAATTTATAATTTTATTTTTATATTCATATGTGTTTTTCAAAGTGAGAAAGTGTTCCTTTTTGACATAAAAGAACCGCTAATGATATTAGTATGTTCTTCTAATGCATGTATTTTCAGAGCGTTTATATTGATATATTAATTAAATTTTTTCTTTAGATGTATCAAGATAATCGAATAATACATTTATTTGTCGTTCAAAATCAACATACTTCTTTTTATTTTGATGATTATGGTATGTGGAATTCTACTTTACAAGATGACAGTTTATTGAAATTTCGCAAATCCATCAGAGGTATATAACGTAATATAATAAAATAATCCGCGTAAATTTTGTATTACTGATATTATAAAAATATTTGTAAAGTTATAAGATAATTAATTCTATATCTGAATTTTATTAAAAAAATAAGATTATAAAAGCACACACACACACATGCATATTTATGTATATTTTTAATAATTATTTAAAGTATATACATATAAGTATATATATATATATATATATATATAAATATATATACACACAAATATTATACTAAATAATATATATAAATATGTATTCACACACGAGTATAATTATACAGTATAATTATTAATTAATATCCTTTACACACATATGCGTAATTATACATATATATATATATATATATATATATATATACCAAATAATATATATATATACATACACACAAATAGATATATTATACTAAATAATATATATAAATATATATTATTATCTATATATATTATTATTATTATATATTATCATTTATAATATATATATACACACAAAGTGTCCGGTATAATTACGCATATGTGTGTAGAGGATATTAATAAAATGATCCTTTAATGTTTTGCTATATCTTTGTAACGAAAAATTTACTTTTAAAATAAAATGATAAACCATGCAGCAATAGAAGACATTTTACTACTGTTATGTGATTACTGTACCTTGTATATATATATATATTGTATATATATATATATATACAAATAATTTTGCTTTATAATATATAATATCATTTTACATGTAACCATTATAATAAATATATATTGATTATATAACTAATTTATAATTTTGATGTAAATTGTAGCACCCTGTATACTGCGCATGATGCAACACTCCGTAACCAAAGAAGTATTTTGGAAAGGCATTCGATCATATACAAATAGCAAGTGAGTAATACCCAATATAAAATATATAATAATAAAATAAAATTATATAAATCTTAACTAATTTATAATAATACAAATTTCATATATTGTCTCTTATTATTTAATTTTTGCTGACATTATTTCATATTATATTTTTTTAGTTTTACAATTCTGCTATTTTCCTAGATCTGTTACTAGATTTACCTTTACTTTCGTTATTTTTACTATGAAAACCGCTTTTGTTGAAATAAATTGTTGTTTTATGACTTTTTATATATACATATTCAATGTTGTTTTATTTTCGTTTCATAATTTAGTATTTTCCAAAATATTTTTTAAATTAATTTGTATTCTTTTTATTATTTCCTTTATTGCTTCATATCGTTTATAATTATTCTTATAATATCTGCTTTTTTTTAATTGCATTTTGTGCTACGTTTGTTTTTTAATCTTATTTTAAATATATCTGACACGTATATCGATTTTCCGTTACTTTCTTTATTTTTATTTCATTTCTTTCATAGAACGATCTCCTTTATTATATTTGTATATTATTTCTTGTTTTGTTTTTATTTTTATTTGATTTGTTTTGTTATATTTTATTAATCATTTTATAACTCATCTGTCAATACTTTGATCAAATATAATCTGTATTATTAACTCTTGTAGAAATTTATCACTAATAACGCCAATTAATCACTTATTTTGAGTACTTAAAATACTGATATACAGTAATTTAAGTACTCGAAATAAGTGATAAATTAGCATTACTAGTAATAATATAAAGAAATGCCTAACAAATTAAATAAAATTATTAAATTGAATTTAATATTATGATATTATTATAATATAAATATAAGATATATAAATACACAAACACAAATATGTACAATTATGTATATTTTGCTTCTTAGTATTTATTAAAATTTTTTATAATATTAAAATATTAAAATTATAAATACAATTTTAATTTTATTTATAATGTAATTTTTACATAATTTACATACTTTGTGAATTTAGCCAATTTCATCGTCAAAGTTTTATGACTTTTTTGGAAGAAATTGTTGCTGATGCAAATAAGCTAGATCAACTTCAATTATCATTACAAACAATGGCAAATTGGACTTTAGAAGAGCATTGTCCTCTCATCAAAGTAGAACGAAATTATGGTCTTTTGGGAAAGACGAAAATATATTTATCGATACAAAATCCCGACACATTAAAAATTGATTGCTTACCTGTAACTTATACTATCCAGACGGCTCCCGATTTTAACAGACTTGATCACCGCGCGCTATGCATATCACGGGATGCTGTTATTTCATTGTCATTAGAAGAGCATGGTTGGGTTATAATCAATTTACAACAAATTGGTAAATATCGACCAATTGACTTATCATGACTTATTACTCATCTTTATTTTACACACATACACAATTGACATTATTTTATATTTTTTTTGCTTTACATATAATTATATGTAAATCTGAGATATTCTTATATATAACTACCATAGTTTTAAAATGTTTTGTCTACTGTTCTGTATTATTATATATAATTAATAAGATATATATCGGCGTTTTCTACATAATATCATTCAATATTAAAGTTATATTTTTAGAAATATTTTATTCTAATAATAATAAAAATGATTAAAACGTTAATTATATTTATAAAATTAGTGTATTAATATAAGTATACACGTGAAATAAAATTCTTGTACAGTTTTATGTTACAGAACTTTTGCTCATTGGTATAAAATAATTATTATATATATGCACAACTAGTATCAATTTTATTTTATGCTATACAACAATATCTCGCACAATTTCATTTATAATTTATAATTAATTTTCAATATGTATTTGCATGTTATTGAATTTTTGATACGTTTTTAATTTATAATTTATATAAACGAAAATATTAAACAAAAATGTTTGAAATTAAATGTATATTAATAATAAAAATTATTCAAAATAATAAAAATTGTTAAAATTTATTTATTATTCGACAGGATATTACCGCGTTAACTATGATGATGAGAATTGGCAAAGAATTTCAGATTATCTAAACTCTGATAATTTTACGAAAATTCATGTTCTTAATCGTGCCCAAATTATCGATGATGCATTTCATTTAGTGATAGCAGGTCATCTCAACGCCTCTATATTCTGGAATATCACATCTTATTTGGGTCAAGAAGAAGATTATATCGCATGGTATCCTATGTTTAAAGCTTTGGAATACATGTTTAGTACTTTTCCAGTGAAAGTAGAAACTGAAAAATTTGAGGTAAATATTAATCAATTTCAATGAAAGTATTACATTTAAATATTTATATATACACTGATTGATCACAAATAATTTAAATATTTATAGAGAAATATATCTAGCGATAAAGTTTTACATATTATTACGTCTCACATAAATGTGCAAACTAATTCAGTTTGAATAATCACTCACGCGATGAACAGTTCTCAAAGTGTATGATTTTTATTACTGTGAATAATATTAATATATAACATTGTTATTGGATACATAGCTGGATGCTTAAAATCTTTGTCGATGAATTATAATTATAAACATATTAATAAAGAAATATATATTCAATGATTTTTAGGATAGAATAGATGGGATAATAACCATATTACACGAGTTACTTGCAAAAATCAAATATGAAGAAATTGATGATGCAGATGAACTTAGAATATGTTTACGACAAGAAGCTGCAAGATGGGCATGTTTTTTCGGTGATATCACTTGTATGGAAGAAGCGAAAAATAAATTAGAACTTCATATCAAAAATTCTAAAAAACACAGGTAAATATTGTTATATATATTTAGTTTTTCTTAATCAAATTTTTTTGTAGATATCTCCTATAATGTTCAAATGAATTGATACGCCAATCTTTAATAATAAAATTAAATTCTATTGATATTTTAGACTTTTGCCATGGTGGAAGACATGGACATATTGTAGAGGTTTGATGAAAACTACGAGAAATGAGACCACTTTTGGAATAGTGTATACTAGAGGATTGGAAAAAAATTACATTAAATTTTCAGAATACTTGGCTTGCATTGAAGATACTGATTTCATTAAAATCTATTTAAGTCGTAAACAGCACACTGATACAAAACAGAAAGATCAATTTCTCGTTAATAGTTTCTTACATTTTATTACGAAGCATGCGAATAATCCAATTATATTGAAGTACATATTAGATAATTTTCACGAAATAAAACCAAAGTAAAGTGACTAATTTTTATAAATATTTTGAAGAAAAGTTTTTTATATGTATTATATATATATGTATCTGATTTTTTTTGTTTTTAGAAGTGTTAATATAATTGCAGCATTAATTATTATGATTAATAACGTATATTCCAAGAATTTAGCTCTGGTAAAAATTTTACATGTTTAAATATGTATACAAAATATGATAATAATGCGATATTAATAATTATTATTTAATGTTTAAAATAATTTTTATAATGTTACCATAACGTTGTTTATTAATAATGATATTAAAATTATACATTTTAGCCAATAGAGATTAACTCTGAAAATATTGTACAAGCTAATGTAATTGACGTGAACAAAGAAGATCAATTTAGAAGATATCGAATAAAGGAGGTAAATTTAATATATGTATATTATTATATGGAAAGCGAAAGAAAATGAAATATTGTTTTATCTGATTATTTCTGAATATTATTTTTATATTTGCTTATTTGTTATATAATCAGTATGTTGATTTCATTATGCCAATCTTTGTTTATATATATTAGGATTTGTATAATGCAGAATGCAATTACTATATTTATCTAATTATATTATAGTTAATGAAACGATTTGTTTTAGATGAGTGACCGTGTGATAGAAAAGAATGAATTATATATCAGAATAACAAACCAGGTTGATATTCGCAAGGGACAAATCGAGAAGCAGAGACAGGATTATGCAAGATTTTTCTTCTAATCGGTGGATGAAAAAAAATTGCAGTATACGTGGACGTACTTCATATGAATAATTTTTTTATATTGCATGTACTATTTTTTTACTGCTTCAAATATTGTTTATTTAGATGTATTACTATCCGATGCTATAATATTTACAAAATTATAAGACTACATTCATCAAGATTTTCATTTTTTTGCGATCTTGTTTGAAGTAGTTAAACTATATATTATTACCTGCTTAGTAACAGAATTGTAGCCATATTATATTACAATAAATTTTACTGTTAGATATAATAATATAATATAAATGTATAAATATAAATAGTATAAATATATAAATAAAATCTGCTAAATAATAAGTGCACCTAAATTGTGTGTGTGCATTATCTATTCATTTTAAATTATATATTGACTTGTTTTCAATTTTGTTACGTGAATTAACAAAAATGATAATTTATTTTATTTCTTACTTACATAATTAAAATCAATTTAATGTTTCATATATTGCCAAAAATAAAATTGACAAGTATAAAAGAGCATTACCGCATTAAAAAAATTATTAAATTAAAAAAAATTTTTATTTCTATACTGTTATATAAATAAATATTTATCTGTTTAGAAAAAAATTTTCTTACATCAAACAATAAATGTTTTTTACATCCAATCGATATTATTAGTTTCAAATAAATAATTTTTATTATAAAATAGTATTAAGATCGAAAAGTCACGATTTATATTTAAAATTGTATTTTATTTTGGCTTTATACTCACAGTTTGTTTATTTAGTATACATATAATTTGAAAAAAAATAAAATAAATTTTGAAAAATATTTTCAAAAACTCTTATTTAAATACTAGTGACTGTCATTTAAAATTGGGTATTTATTTTGTATTAACTTTTTACAAACATGTTATATGAAGATAATAATTTTATCAGTTATAAAACTTTATGGTTTCGCGCATAGAGTACGATTTTATAAACAAAGTATTAAATTTTTAAAATTAGAAAAAATTGATATAAAAAGACAAAAAATAGTACATATCGCGATTAATAAGGAATCAATTATAATATTTACGATTCTATATTATATACTTACACAAACAGGAGTAGGTACAGTATAAAGACACAATATTGTGCATAAAGACATGTATAATTAAATGTATATTTTTAATAAAAAAATATAAAATGTTCCGTTTTAAATTAAATATTGTTGTAATTTCATAACCAAGGTTTTTCTTTCGAAAAATATACTTTATACAATATTTATAGAACTTGGAAAAAGAGAGTCGCGTCGTAAGTATACCGTCTTATTTCAATTGGAGCATTTTCGAGATTTGATAGATATCATTATTTTTCAAACGTTTTACGTTCTTTTCTGACACAAATATAATACATTTTGTAATTTATTTATCTTCCAATATTGTTTTATCTAAATAAACTTCTGCACAAAACAATGTGGATAAATTGATTGGTATAAGAAAAACATTTCAGTGATTTAAAAAAATTGCAATTTATAGCAATGTGCAACTTCATACATTTATTTTAAATAATGACATATTTATACTAATTGAATTATTAAGATAAAATTATCGAAGAATGAGTATATGATTATAAATTATACAACATTTTTAGCGAATATTTTTTTTGAAATAAGTCATATAAATGTGTGTAAATAACGCCTATTTATTTGATTAATTGGGCAAAAGTTAAATGTACTCAATTAAGACAACAGTTACACAAAAATGTCGCCACACACACAAATATATATGAAAATATATATACATATAACGACCTCAGAAATTTTGTTGACCATACACATTATATTTATCATGAAGACACGTACAGACAATCAGTCAGTCTTTCGTGGTCGTTCGAACCACGTGGTGGTGAAGATATAATACTTTTAATAAAGTGTGTGAATATATTATATTCTTTCAACATTGCATACTTCCAAAGCATTAATTTGCTGCAGTTCATTATTAAAACAATATATAGTTTTAATCAATATAATTTTCCAATTAACATTCTGTTTCGATATATTCGGTAAGTCAGAATAAATTTCAATCATATAAAAACATATATGTGTCTACAAATACAAGAAAATTTCATCATACAGTAGGACGGAATTTTATAGAATTTCCAACATATGTATAGGGATAAAGAGAATATTTTATTCAAAATTATCTTTAAATTTTAATTCACACAGAGATAATTTCAATAATATCGATAATATAATATTTTACGAATTGTAATATGTTTGGTGAATTATTAGTTTTATTAGGTAAATTGTTATAATAAATTTAGAGACGGTGTATTATCGTTATTCACTTTAATTCTGCATTTAAAATATTATAAATGACTTACAATAACCGCAAGGTATAACTTTCGCTTGCGAGATATAATTTTATTTGTTTTTTCTTCAGCGAGTTTGTTGAGCGAGCGACAGGTTATCGATTCTCCGGTCACCTGTTTATATCGGTTAAGCTGTTATAATTTGTTTGTTTTGATACTTTGTCTTTCGTTACCTGTTTCTTATGATTGTTTCGCTCGTTGTCATATATATATATATTCGATCGCCGACTTTTGTTCTATATTCAATTTAATATTTTAATATAAAATTAAAATATAAAATTGAAATATAAAATAAATTTTAGTTCCGGTATTTAACATCACAGTTAAAATAATCTTAAACCAACAAAAGTTTGATATCGAATATTTTATTTTTGAAAGTTGCAAATACTACAGTTAACAGATAATGTATATTATAATGGACACTTTTAATTGTAAAAAAAAAAACCACTCCTCAACGTTTAAAGTCGACCAGACTGGCGATAATTTATTATAAATAATTATTTGAAATACAACGTTTCGATATAAAATCAGCGTGATTACAAGCCTAGTTGATAGGGCTATTTTACTCGCTGACCCTTTTTTTCATGAAGAAAATATTAATTTAATCAAAAGAATTCTTATTAATAATTGTTACCCGTTAACAATTATAAACAAAAACATTAATAAAAGACTTCGAGCGATTAAATTTGGCGGTAATCTTAACTCGCCCAATCGAAATAAATTTGATACGCGAAATTGCATTGTGTTACCTTATATTAAAGATCTGAGCGAGAATATTACGCGTTGCATTAATAAAAGTGGAATTGATGCTTTGTATACTGTCCCAAAAAAATTGGACACATTGATAAAAAGAGGTAAAGATGGGATCGAAAACTTAAAAAGAACTGATGTGGTTTATAAAATTGAATGTACGAATTGCGATTCGGCTTATATTGGACAGACAAAGAGACATTTAGAAACGCGCATTAAAGAACATAGAAATAACATAAAAAAAGACAAGACATTGCATTCTGTCGTTAGTTTGCATCGGACTTGCAACGATCATGAGTTCTGTTGGGATTCTCCGGTGATTCTGCATGAAGAAAAACAAACAAGAAAAAGAGAAATTGCAGAAATGTTTTACATAAAAAAACAAGGAAAAAGTATTAATTTACAGAAAGATACGGAGAATTTTAGTGGGATTTATGATCGTGTTCTTGACGTTATTTAAGTCGTTTTTATTTTTACTTTTATTTTTATTTTTATATCCACCTATTTATTTATTTTTATTTATTTGACTTTATTATGACGATTTAAATTACGAAAGACACATTTAGTTTCGTCTCTATTTTCTTAACGCTTAGTGACTAAGATTCTTGCGAACAGTTAACATCTATTTATTATGTGCTTACTTCTGTCAGTCTTGCATTGTTCATCAAAACAAGCGTTAACATTGTCGGTTGTTTGCATAGAAGTTGATTTATTGTTTTAAATTTGGTACGTAACACATTTTTGTTTTTAAATGTATAATTATTTGTTGCGAATAAGTGTATTAAATTATAATTATTTTGATTGAACTTTTTATAGATGTACAATACTTGAAAAGGGCTGCAATGACAGCCGAAACGTTGTATTTCAAATAATTATTTATAATAAATTATCGCCAGTCTGGTCGACTTTAAACGTTGAGGAGTAGTTTTTTATTAATTATTACTGGCAACCTTAAGGATTATTATTTACTTTTAATTGTCTTTTCATTACTAAATTATTAAAATTCTGTTTTCCAAAGTTTCTCGTACTTTTTATTATTTATAAAAAATATCTGTATGTATTTTAATACTTACTTGTGATGACAATATATTAAAGGTTGCGTAGTCCTTAGCTATTATTTTATCACGGTTCGATAAAAAGTTTCATTCGAATAATATGTTCACGGTTTTTAATTTTAAGTACACTTGAGAAGGACCAAAACCCATGGTCGAAACGTTGGGTGGTGATTATTAAATATTTATTAGCCAGTAATGGTCGTAAAAATTAATTATCCTTTCAAATATATTAAAATTAATAATGATTAAAATTTAATTTTTACTTATTATTAAGTTGTATTTCTCAAACGTATTAGTATTCTACTATCAGTATATATACAAAATAGAAGTCAAAATAGTAATTCGGCTAATTAAAATTATGATCATTTTTATATTATCAAGCAACTGTCATCGCAAAAATTAACAATTTGACAATTGTAAAATGAATAATAGAAATAATATCAAAAGCGTGCGCCAAGCGCGCTCTTGTGTCGTCTAGTGATTTAAAAAACACATCAATACTATATTTAATTTCTCTATTTGTCTTTTGCTTACAGTGTGTTTTACAGATCTAAAATAAATTTTACGACACGATGATAATTCTAAACCTACTATTAATTAGCGAAATAATATATATCGTTGGGACGGCTTCTACTTTTAATGAATCATCTTTATGCTATCAACCATCAAAATATATAAAACCAAATCATTACGATATCGAGTTTATATCATATATTGAAGAATACATTTTCTATGGAGAATACAATATTAGCATAAGCATTCTTAACAAAACGCGAAATATATTGATCAACAAATATTCAGAAAAATTATATTTTAAAAATATAGTTTTAATTAAAAATCTAGAAAAACATCATGAGAATATTAAGTATACAGTTTATAAACCGACATATGATATTCAAGAAGACATAATTGACGTTTCTTTTAAGGATGAGTTATTACCAGGAAATTAC